GCTGGACTTAACCCTGGTTGGGGAAAGTCGCCAAACCGTTTGGCGACTTATAAGTCACCAAACTGTTTGGCGACTCTCTAATTCATACGGAGAAAATGCGTACAAGGGTGAAGGGAAGCAGTCCGCTGGGAGAGTAACACGTATGTGAATAGGTGGAGCCAATTAAAAAGAAATCCTCTATTTTCTTTAAATGGCTATAAGTTTCATATTTTTCTTCCAATTTTTTAAAAACATATACCAAATTTTATAACTTTTTGTGATCTTTCATATGACACCAATATGTAATATATAAAGTTTTAAAAAAATCTGAAGACCATATGGGGTGAAAAACTAATTGCAATTATGCACCGTCAATAAACTTAATTCTCAACCAGTTTAAACCAAAATTATGTATTCACCATTTCAATTCAATTTTTCAATATATTTACCCAATATAGTTTTTAATTACATTCTTACACTTTTTAGTCTACATCAACTTTTAGCCAAAAAAAATTACGAAAATCTGAGGATTCTATCACATACGGTTCTTTACGCTCTATTTTTAAGCTCAAAATATAAAACATTTCAATGCAAAATTCTGTGTATTTTTTAAAAATGTGTATTCACCCTGGCCTAACCCAAATTTTAAAAATGTCTACATTTTTAGTGTAAAAATTCTGTGTACTTTTTTTAAAATATTTTTTGTACCAGCCCAGTGTCCTGACTCTGCCCCTGCTTATAATGTCTGGTACAAAGAATATTTTTAAAAAAATAAACAGATTTTTGCATGTAGACTAAAAGTTGGCTAAAAGAATAACGTTGGGTACATATCAAGATTAAGTTGGCTAAAAGAATAAGTTGGCTAAGAGTTGGTTCAATTAAGATTTTCATAAAAAAAAAATTGGCTGAAAGTTGATGTAGACTAAAAAGTGTAAGAATTTAACTAAAAACTAAATTGGGTAAATATATTGAAAAATTGAATTGAAACGGTGAATACATAATTTGGTTTAAACTGGTTGAGAATTAAGAGGCCGTTTGGCAACACTGTTTTTCGGCTTATCAGGCTTATCAGCCAACTTTTTCACCAAACACGTAACTTTTGTTTTCGCGCGCTGAATTGTGTAATAAGCAGAAAAAGTAAGGTTGAAGTTACTTTTCTGGCTGCATTGGCTGAAGTTACTGTAGATGACCATTTTAGCTATTTTACATATAATTTTTTCTTTATTTTATTAGTAAAATATATTTTAAAAATAATTATTTCTTAAATCAGCAGAATCAACCAATGCAGCCGCTTCAGCCAGAACTTCATAAATTTCAGCAGAATCAGCCAAAACAGCTAATTTTCGTGCTACCAAACGGGCTCTAAGTTTATTAACGGTGCATAATTGCAATTAGTTTTTCACCCCATATGGTCTTTTTTTTTAAAACTTTATATATTACATATTGGTGTCATATGAAAGATCACAAAAAGTTATAAAATTTGGTATATGTTTTTAAAAAATTGGAAGAAAAATATGAAACTTATAGCCATTTAAAGAAAATAGAGGATTTCTTTTTAATTGGCTCCACCTATTGAGACCCTATATGCTACACCCGGTTGTATGTACATCCGTGGTCCAATTAACATAAAAGCCCATTAAGAGATCTAGCCCATAACACACCTGGCCCCAATTTTTACCGGGTAATATCGATAACCGAAAAACAGAGTCTGCGATTTAAACATATCAAAAAACGGAAAAGTAACTTCTCTCGAACTACCTTCTGAAATTTCTTCGAAAACGACGCAAGCATTCATACACGCCGTATTAAAGCTCGAAAAACGATGACAGCCTCCAGACAATTGTCAACTTCGCGGAGTTGTTCGTAGAGTTGCAGAGCAACGACAAGTTAAGAACAGAGGAAGAGTTTGAGCAGCAAGTTGTTTCTGTTTGAGCATTGAAGCGAGTGATGGACCTACTATCCGAGTATGAGATGATGAAGAACGCAGATAAGCATGAAACTCCAGAAGGATCAGAGAGGTATGTAATATTATAGTGTTCAAATTTGTATTCAAGTAATGATTCAACAATATACTTGCATGTTTCGAAAATTATAGAAAAAATGAAATGATTTTGACAAATCTGAAGCAGATTATGAATTTGATGCATGATATGTGTTTATTAAGTATATCATTTGAGGTTTTGTTCAAAATACGAAGGTTATTGCTCATTTTACTCTACTTTAGGTCATATGCATTACTAACTAGTTAGAACATGGTGATACTGTAATTAGGTTACTTCTAAGATGATAAAATACTCAATCTGTGGTATACAGTACTCATCTATGAATGGAGTGGTATGTGCTTTAAATTTTCTGTACTTGTTGAATAATATCCTTATGATTCATATGTGTTTATGCTAATTAATCATAATGTGACATTAAAATTGAAGTCATACTCATTATTTGAACACTGTATCAAATGAACAAATAGACATTGTTTCATGAACAATGTGTCATGAAGTGCAGTAGATTTTTTGTTATACAATATACTTGTTCTGTAATTCGTTTGCATGGACATTGTGTGTGTGCTCATAATGTGAGTGTAAGATGCTCAAATTGTAAAACAGTGTGTCACAATTTTATAGTACTGAAAACTGGTGATAATATGTTAGTTATTCATAATGTTAATTTAAAAGTGAACTGATACTCATAAGTTGATTAGTACTTTCAAATAACCATATGGTGTTATGTTTTCTTAAAAAGCTATGAAAAATTTGTTTTAGAATATGCTTGTCATAAACTACATTTACATATAAATATAGTTTGTATAGAATATGCCTGTGATTGAATAGAGTTACAAAATAATATTTTGTGTGCTCATGATTTGATATATATTACTCATTTTAATTAATAATACAGGATTTTAGATCCACGACCTATAAGTGAGATCCCAGTGCTGCGCTCAAATCCAAAAAAGAGAGTAAAAAAGACTTCCAAAGTTCCACAGAAGCAAAAGAAGATGAAACCAAAAGCAATTCCAAAAAAGGAAAAGGCTAATATGGACTTAATAAAACAAATTGAAGCTGAGATAAAGATGAGTGATGAAGAAACAAGGGTTGCAGAAGTAAGGAAGGATAGCACTAAGAAGACTGAGCATGTTGGAGAACAATCTGAGAAACAAGGGAGGGATACTGAGCACCAAGGGAAAGAAACTGAGCACCAAGAGAGGGAAACTGAGGAGCATGTGAATGTTGAAGAAACAAGCAAAGGTGGCAGTAAGATGACTGAGAATGTTGTAGAAGAATCTGAGCACCGAGGGAGTGAACCTGAGCAGCAAGGTATTGAAACTGAGCAACATGATAATGTTGAAGAAACAAGGAATACTAGCAGTAAGACAACTGAGGAGGTTGGAGAAGAATCTGAGAAACAGGGAAGGGAAAATGAGCAACAAGGTAGGGAAATTGAACAAAATCAGATTGTTATAGAAGTACAACAAGGAGCTGCACAGAGAAATAATGAGAAGAAAAGAAAGAGAAATAATGCAGGCTCAATTAAGAAAAGTACAGAACAAGGAAATTCAAGCAAAGAGAAAGAGAGCGAGGAAGTTAGTCCAAAAAGAAGAACTACAAGATCAACAACTTCAGAAGCAACTGAAAAGAAAAATGATGAAGTTCAGAAAAAGAAGAAAGAAGTTCATGCAAAGAAGAAAATAACAAGGGAAGCAGATTCAATAAAAGAGAAGAAGCAGAAGATAAAGAAGAAGAAAGCAGAAGAAGAGGAAGAATTTGAGGAGGACGAAGAGGAGATAGAGAAGGAAGAGAATGCAAAATACCCAAAGCTGTGGACAAGAATGTCTCCGAGTAGTATAACAGAAATAATGAAAAATCTAAGTGCAGAACAAAAGAAAGAGGTGGTTGAGATGGGATTTGGCCCCTTACTGAACCTTGAAGTGAAGCAATTGCCAATGCAGTTGGCATATTGGTTGCTGGACAATTTTGACAGCAGAAGTGTGTCTCTTCTTCTGCCAAACAATGAAAGGTTGAGGATTAATGAAGATGGAGTGCACGTGACATTGGGATTTCCAAAAGGAAAGATTAATGTGAAGAATTTGATTGACACTGAATCTGAGAATACTTCACACATGGTGGCTAATTGGAGATCACAATTTCAGACTGAAAATGGAGTTGTGAAGACTGCTCAAGTGAAGAAGGTTATAGAAGAAAACAAAGCAGGCGGAGTATGGTTTAAAAAGAATTTTTTGGTTCTCCTGGTAACATGTTTGATTGAAGGGAAGCAAAATTGCTTTGCCAATCAAAGCATTCTGAAGGCATTGCAGGATGATTCAAAAATCAAGGATCTGAATTGGTGTGGATACACTTTGGAAACATTAATTGAAGCAAAGGACTATTGGAGCAAAAATAGAGAAAGACAGTTCCCAGGGCCTTTATTATTTCTGATTGTAAGTTACAAATTCTTAATATTATTGCTCATTTTTACCACACTATTACTCATATCCGCATATACACTACACAATTCTAAAATCTCATAAAATATGTAGGTGTTCTATGTAGACAACATTGTGTTCAAAGGCAGAAAAGTGGACAGAGCATTTCCATCTATTATTGGTTGGACAACACAAAAGCTGAACAAACGACAGAAGGAAGAAATTGAAACTGGAGGTTTTGGATACGGATATATAGATGAACCTAACAAAGGGGAATTGATAGTTCCAAAACTGATCACAAATGAAGAAGAAGCTGAAATCCCGATCGAGGGAAACAGTAATCAGGAGCCAAAGAAGGTAAGGACAGTATTATGTAATTTTAATAGAAACAATTGGGTAAATATATAAATGATAAGTATGATATGTAGATATGAGTATTTAGTACAAAGTAATGAGTGCATTTAAGAAGTTAAATAAAAACAAAGATAATAAATGTGTTAAAAATATATATGCTTCATTCAATTATTTTAGTATAAACTCAATAATAACATAAAGAATGCTCAATTACTGTTCTAAATTAATCATTAAATAACTGCAGGATATTATGAAGGAGTTTGCTGCAGCAGCGAAGAATTTGGCAGAAAGCATGGCCAATTTTGATGAAAATTTTCAACAGGCTGCAAAGGTGTTACCTGATGATGAGACAATGAAGATTTTAATGGGAAAAGTCCATGGGCTTTTCAACACATATTCATCAGAAAAGGAGAAAGAAAAAGAAAATGAAACCGAAGTGTCACTGACTCCAGATGATGGATTCTGGACTGAAGAAGTGCTCAAAGCAGTTGAAGCTATTGAAATGGCTCAGAAGAAAAGAGTTGAGAGGCCAACTTTTACTCAGTATGAAAAGCCAAGCTTCAAGTTGCTTTCACAGGAGTCAAATGATGGGGCGAATACATATGGGGATGATGATGAGCATCATCATGACATAATTGAGCAACATGGCAATGCAATTGAGCATGCAGAGGATGGTCCAAGTGAGCAAATGAATAAGGATAATGACAATGCTGAGGATGTTAATGAGGATGAAGAGGAATCTGAAAAGGAAGAATGTGAAGAAGAAAGAGACAGAAGGTTCGAAAGGGTAAGCAAGTTGAACAATATCACATTGAACCAAAAGAGAACAAAGTGGAAAGAGAAAAAAGAGAAACAGCCCCAGCACCTGCTGTGAAGTCCCCATTCATGAACAGAAGTATAGATGCAAGGACAACACTTGGCAGTGAGGAAAGACTACTTGCAGGTTTTGTGTTCAATGATCATTGTGACAAGAAGTAAGTCGCTAAGTTTTTCTTAATCATTTCGTTTAATATAATGCACATTTAATATTTGAAGGTTACTCATTCTGATATAATAATTCTTTTCAAACAGTGTTGTGGTGTTCAAGCATTACAACTTCACTCTTTCAAAAGCTCAGATGGAAACAATGAAGAGCAACACAAAAGTTGATGCTGGAATTATAGATATATGGGCAATGTTGCTTAATCATAATGAAAAGTTCAAAAGCCCTGAAGCTAAAAGCAGAATGATTTTCTCAACAAGACCATGTGTAAGAAGTACATATTCATTTACTTAGTATTACTAAAATGAAACTAATATATTATAATATTTAATGACAGCATGTGCTAGATCAAAATCATCTCACCGCTCCACAAACAAGGAACAAAAGGTTTGCGGCAGAAATTGGCAAGGAATTTCCCTGTGCAGATGGAAATAAGTTGAGGTCAACAAACCTATTCATATTCCCAGATGAATACAATGGGTGCTACTATATGATGTGCTTTGACTTGAAGAGCATGAAGTTCTACATCATTGATAGTAGCGACGGAGATATAGCTCCTGCAGTCAAGTACTTGTTTCAAATGTCATACCTGGTAAACGTTTTATATATTTCTTTTTTATTTTATCACATATGGATAAATAATGTGATGATTTAGTATATGAGTAATGTGCACTTGATAATTGAGCAACTACATAGACAATATGTGCATGAACATAAGAATATGTATAATTCTGTTTTTGAAATTTTTAACTACAAAGAAGTGGATTTGTGAAATTTCTTCGAGATCAAAACACCCAAAGGCAGATAAGGTTGTGAAGCTGAAGGAAGAAGTGGTTAAAATGCATTGGAGAAACAAGAAAAACAAAACCAATGAGGGAGTTTATTTGATGAGGCACATGGAGACATTTTATGGTGACACAGCATGGGAGTGTGGATTAGATAAACAAAGTGTAAGTCCAAAATTGTTTAATATAGTTTTCAAACACAATAATTATGTGAAAACTTGAATATCTAAATTATAATGTTTGTACAGGAAAAACCAATTGAGATGCTGCGGATTAAGTACTTGCATGCAATAGTAACATCTGATAAGAATGAGATCAAGAAGAACATCATGGAACAAGTGAAGAAACACAATGTGTATATCTAGAAGATTTGTAATGCTATTGATGATTGTGGGCGTTGATGAACATATTGTTGTTTTTTAATTCATGCTAAACAATATTAGTATTTGGGACATATGATATTACTATTAAGCTTGGATGACAGTAGTCATGTTAGTAATATTAAATAAGGACATAAGCTTATGGGAAGTTCATATTATTGATCATTATTAGTAAGTTCTATGCTCATTTCCTTGCTTACTTATACACATTTTAAGGTATTAATGATAATTACTAGTAAGTACTATTCTCAATTCATTTATTACTTATACAAAATTTTAAGGAGTGAGCTTTTAAATTTAAATTCTTTGAGTGTGAAAGTAAGACAATGTATTAATTCATTAAATAAACAGTGCGGGGTGTTTTTTCCAATTATTCGTAATGTATTTATAATGGTATGAGTCTTCACTACGAAATGAAATAGATAATTTAAAGTTTTTTTGGGAAAAATATGTATATATTTGTGTTCATTGCGAAATAGTAATTATACACATTCATGATGATTGTAATATTGATTGCTGACATCTGTATTTATGAAGTTTATATTAATACTCATTATTAGTAGAGTAAATGCTCATTTAATTAATTAGTATACACAATTTGAAGACTAATCAATTGAATTTTAGAACATTAAGTATGAAATTACGTTATACAAATTTTCTTATAAAAATTATATTTAATTTGAAATAGTAAACACATAATTTAGTGAGTCTTGCATTCAAAATGCATTAACTAAAAAATTATATTTACTTCTATACTCATTTTGTTAACACGTGGTACTCATTATAGCACAAACAATTACTCAAAAGAAGATTAGATCAGAGGAATGTATGATTACAACAAAGTAAAAACTACAACAAAAACATAGAGGAACAAAATGTAAAGTCTAAAAGTGAAAACAACTGAAACTAAAATGATGATAAAAGATAAAAGATGTTATTTTTTGAATAATATAATAAGTATGTAAATAAAAAACAAAGCTTTTAAGAATGTTTACACATTTCAAGGTTCAATATTCGAAGTACTAGCTGCAGTTGACTTGTTCCTTCCTTGGAAGTTAAGGTTCATATTTCAGAGAACATTTATAATATTCCAAAGCGTAATTTTAAATGATTAACATACAGCTACGGTCTGAGCATCAACACAAAAATGTTGAGTAATAAAAAAACCTGACACCAGTCATTAGTAAACTAGTGAATATAACAGTATTACTACATAGCTATTGGAAAAATCAAACTACAAATTTGCTTGATCAGTTTCAGATGTACTAGCTTGGCGTGACTTCTTCTTTGCTCTAGCTTGATTTGTTTTGATTTCAATAAGACTCTTGCGACGAACATTTCTTTCACCCTTCTTCCTTGAAGACTTTGGATTAGATATTGCTGAACCCAAACCAACCGTAGAAGATTCACTATCTGAAAAGTAAATACTTCCAACTTGCTCTTCAACATCCACTTTCAACTTTGTAAAAGATTCTTCACAAAAATGCCTTGCTGCAGAATTAGAATCACTAGAGCACAAAAGCTTGTGAAATTTCTTTTGCATTTGCATTCTCCAAACAGAAGGTAAAACATTAGAAGTCCCAGATGAGGCATATATTTGTTCAGTTGGAACACACTTTGCACTACGCGTCCAACGTTTCAGAACATAACAATCCGGTATAACTTCTACACAGTGAATATGATATATACGAAGAATATGACAACACAAAATACCAACTTCTGAGAATTTCTCACATGAACATTTAACAAAATGTGTTGTCATATCAAAAGAAACCCAATGTGAAAATATATCTATTTGAGGCATCCATACCAAATATGACATCAAAGAACCTTGTTGATGTCTAAGTTCATATTTCAGGGACATACCTCGTAGAAATTCTTTCTCAAACAGTTTATACGCATCAATCGTGTAGACCTTGGAGGCTTTATGTAACAAACCAACAAAAGGAATGGCAATTTCCGGAAAACCATCCCAACAACGTTGCTGATCTTTACCCTCATTACTTCTCCATTGACTCACACTTTCACTAAAAAAATGGTAGAAGTCACAAAGACACGAGTTTGCATTCAGTTTTCTAGATATTGAGTTATTCGTGGACTCGCTTCGTTGTGAAGACAAAATTCCAGCAGAAAAGAACTGCTTGGAAAAAGCTGGACACCATTTCTCTCTCATCTCGTACAGTTTGGTCAACCAAGGATTATCAGAACAATTGTATTCACAAACCATCCTGCAAAATATGAAGCAAAATACTCATTTAAAAAACACTATTACTGATTACAGATAAGCAGTTTGCTCAACAAGAAGGTATACTGTAAATGCAGAAAACATAAAAGGAAGTATACGGACAATGAAAAATACCTATTCCAATAATGATCAAACTCTGCAACAGTCTGACAGAGTTTCAAAACATGATCAAATAAAGCCAAAAAGCCTTCGTCATTCCTCAAATCTCGTATATGTTTTTTAGAATTTTCAATTATGTGCCATATACAAAGACGATGCCTTGAAGAAGGAAAGACTTTAACTATTGCAGCAGACATGGCGGATGACTGATCTGTCATAATAGTTTTCGGATGCACAAAATCCATTGAATTCAGAAAAGTAGTGAAAAGCCATTCAAAAGATTCAATTCTTTCATTGAGAAGAAATCCACAACCAAACATGCATGTATGGGTGTGATGGTTAATTCCTACAAACGGTCCACATATCATATCGTATTTATTAGTACGATAGGTCGTATCATGAATAACTAGCTCACCAAAAGATAGATAATCTTCCTTCATTTTTTTATCTCTCCAAAAGAAACTGACTAAAGAACCATCCACATCTATCTCAAAAGAGAAGAAGAAATCTTCTTCATTTGACTGCCTATTCTTAAAGATGTTAATCAGGGTATTGGCATCAGAACCATCAAAAGATTTCTTGACCTGTTTTGTCAATTCGTTATATGCATCACGCAAGAGAAAACCAACCGAAGGAGATCCACCTGCTTCCGCTTGCAAACATCGAAATCCATCAGCTATCTTGACTCCTTGTTTTTTCAAATGATGCAAGTAATCTAACTCATTAGAAGAAATAGAACGATGAGATCTAACGTGATGAACTAATGAGTTTGGACAAAACTGATGATTATGGTCCATAAGGTGTCTGACAACAACCCACTCACCGCTAGATTTTATCTCAAAATAAATTCGTGCCTTACAATTAGTACGAATGTCAACTTTTGTGAATTGCTTCCCAACAACGCCTTTATTTTTTTTTAAGCCTTGTTTAGTGCAGCAGAACTCCCTTCCCCTAAAGCCAGAACCACCATCCCTCTTTCTCAAAGTAGAGTACCTAACTCCAAAACCAATCCGAAAAGCATAATCATTATACAATTGAAATGCTTCTTCCTCTGAAAATACAGTTGTACCAAGCAACTCAGAAAATTCAGCTTCCTTCACTGATATGGTTTCAACAGAAACAGGATCATGACAAACTTGTACAGTCTCAAAACTAGATGAACGTTCAGTTGCAATAAATAAATAAAGGTAAAATAAACTAAAGATATAAAATTCAAGTAAAAGAAAGGGAAACAATGTACGTAAGAAATGAGCAATACTTGGTCCGAAAGAAAGAGATTCTGTAACACCGTCCCCAAATATATTTACTTTTATGTAAATAATGTATTGAACCTTATTAAAGGATTAATGAATTTACGAAGTTGTAAATTTTTATTATTTCTTTCGCGTGAATAGTAAATTGCACGTGGGACCCACACCGGGAGCGGGGGCCGCCCGATACTCCCGAGACCACATATTTTATTCATCTTGGTCAAGATAATATTTATATAGTGGTGGATATTTTATTTGGGTCGTGGAAAGGCGCAGAGTTGACCGATTGGGAAAAAGAGGCCCAATTACCGGTACCGACAAGTTAACAGATAACAACCCGAAAATGAATTTCGGAGGTTTATAAATTAAATTTTGGGAATGTATATTCATTATACATGTCATAATGAGTAAGAGCACATAATATATTTTATTTGACCCGATAAAATAAAATATGATTAAAACAGTCCGAAAAATACAACTTTCGGGGCCGATTGTACACTTCGGGACAAAAGGGGTTGACCTCCCACATGAGTGGGGGCCAACCCACGATTTTTCCACTCAAACTTGAGGGTTGGTCGGCTGGTGGAAGGAGGGAGCATGGGAGAAGGGTTTGACATGAAGGGAATGGCATCAAAAGTACCTAGGTGGACCCCCATTTTTTACACTCATTGGTTTAATGAGACAAAGGTCCATCCCCTTCCTCTCTCCCCCATTTGTTCGGCCAAGCTGCAGAAAAAGAGAAGGAAAACTCTCCATTCTTCCTCCCTCCATTGTTGAAGAGAAATCATCAAGGAAGAATCACCCAAAAAGGAGCTAAAGTGCTAAAAGTGTGAAATAATTAAGGTAATGACCTTATTATAACTCTTTCTTTATTTTTCTTCTACCATATGAGATACATATCATGTGAAGAACCATTAAGAGGGTTCTACATGTTATAAGTATGGATTAATGGGTTGGAAAGTGATTCCATGTCCAAGAACGGGCTTAGAAGCCAAAACGACCGGTTCACCGGAAAATAACCTTTTTGAGGTTATTTGTATTAATATGGGTTTTATGATTATAAAACCTTGTTAGGCACTTGTAAAGGGTATTTCAAGTGATTTCACAAAGTTGGAAAAAGTCGCCGGAGTTGTCGCCGGAGTTGACCAAGTCGCCGGAGTTTCACCGGAGTTCAACCAAGAAGGGTAGAACTTCTTAACGCTAGTTCAAGGTGAGTGGACGGCTTAATATCTTATAACTTTTGGGTTAATTATGAGATTACCTAAATAAATGTTATATGTTTTCATAATGATGTTTAAAAGATATTTAAACATGTGATTAGCCAACATTATCAAGTTGTATGAAAAGAATTAATTGATTATGCATGAAATATGATATGAGAGATTATATAAAATGCACATTAGCTTGAAGTGTAAAAGAAGCTCAAATGAGTATTATTGACTTAATTATATGATGATTAAGTTGATATGAATAAGGCTTGAATTGGCGGTCAACGACAACGTTGACCGATGG